CTACTGGTCCTAGAGGTGCTTGTACTGGAGGTACTGGAGCTGCTGGAGCTGGTGGTGCTGCTGGCGCTGGGGGTTCTGGAGCTGTCGGTACTGGTGATGGAGGCACTGTGCAGCGAGGACTGTTTTTCGTTCCGCCGTCGCCGTCGTCTCTGCCGCCACCTGGCTCGGCACTTCGCGAGGTCCTTAGTCTCCCGTCTTCTACTGGCCTTACTCCTCCCTTGCTGTGTCCAAAGCCTGACAAGTCACAGCCACAACTACAGCTAGACTCCCCACTGCCTGCTCCTTCTCCTTACACTGAGCAGACAGACTCTCTTACAGAGCGTCGTGAGCCAGCGTCTCGCCCTGCCTCGCCTGTTCGCGCTGGTCGCACTGGTCGTCGTACTCCGCGTCCGCGTCCTCCTCATGTCCCTCGCACTCACAGTATGACACTTCGTCCTTCCTCTGTTCCAATGCGAGTTCCCCTACCGTCTCCTCCTGTGTCCTCTCTTCTTGACAGTCCGGACCGTGAGTATGACTTAGTTCGTGCAACCAGTCCTACTGTCACGCGTCTCCTAGCCACTGTTGTCACTAACCCCTCGTTTGAGTCCACTGCTGCGTCTGCCTTAGTTGATGAGCTTGTTGACTTTGCTGCCGCTTGTTGTCTCGACTACGCCACTAGTCTTGTTGCTGGGTCTGAGTCTGTCTATCCTCCGTCCGTCGGGGGTGAGTATGCTCTTGGCACGGACGTCCTTGAGGATAGGCAGGAGGACTTTGAGTGTCTTGCATCTGCTGTACCTCATCTCGTGTCCATGCTGCTTGCACCTGAGGGAGACCCAGATGCTCCAGACATCCCGACCCCGCGCTCTTACGCAGAGGCGATTACGGGTCCCTACTCCTCTCAGTGGCAGACAGCCATGGACACAGAGATGGCAATTTGGAAGTCCACAGGCACTTACGTCGACACAGTTCCCCCTCCTGGGGCGAACATAGTCGATGGCATGTGGATTTTCAGGGTGAAGCGGCAGCCGGGTTCTCCGCCTGTCTTCAAGGCTCGTTACGTTGCTAGAGGCTTTAGTCAGCGACAGGGAGTTGACTTCTTCCAGACCTTCTCCCCTACCCCGAAGATGACTACTCTTCGGGTGCTGCTGCACGTCGCCACTCTGCGTGACTATGAGCGTCACTCTCTTGACTTCAACACTACTTTCTTACAGGGCACCCTGCACGAGTAGATCTGGCTGCGCCGCCCTCCTGGCTTCACTAGGTCGTTTCCTGCAGGTACCCAGTCGAGCCTCCGGCGGCCAGTCTACGGTCTCCGCCAGGTGCATCGTGAATGGCACGACACACTGAGGACGACACTTGCGGCTCTTGGGTTTGCTCCTTCGACTGCTGACCCGTCACTGTTTCTGCGCACCGACACTTCGCCGAGGCCGTTCTACATCCTCGTGTACGTCAACGACTTGGTTTTTGCCACTGCTGACACTGAGGCACTGACTCTAATGAAGTCGGAGCTACAGAAGAGACACACATGCACAGACCTGGGTTAGCTGCGTAGCTATCTTGGCTTGCATATTACCTGGGACAGAGCACGCCGCACCATCACCCTGACTCAGTCACACATGGTGCAGCAGGTCCTTCAGCGCTTCGGCTTCACTTGGTCCTCGCCACAGTCCACTCCTCTGGCTACCGGTCACTCGCTTTCAGCTCCACCTTTGGACGAGTCCGTAGAGTCGAGTGGCCCGTATCCAGAGCTTGTGGGCTGCCTCATGTACCTGATGACCTGCACTCGACCTGACCTTGCTTACCCTCTCAGCATCCTAGCACGCTACGCTGCGCCCGGGAGACACCGACCAGAGCACTTGGAGGCGGCTAAGAGGGTGTTACGCTACTTGTGCAGTACGTCGCGCATGGGGCTCGTGCTTGGAGGACGGAGTCGAGGTGTTCTCACTGGCCACGCAGACGCGTCTTGGGTTGACGACTTGGCTACGCAGCGGTCGTCACATGGTTACACTTTTAGCCTTGGCTCCGGTTGTGTTTCTTGGCGGTCTACCCGCTCGTCTTCTGTTCTCAGTTCCAGTTGTGAGGCTGAGATCTACGCAGGGGCCATGGCTGCACAGGAGTTACGCTGGCTCACCTACCTACTGACCGAATTGGGAGAGCCGCCTAGTTCTCCTCCAGTTCTGTATGTAGACAACAAGGCCATGATTGCCTTGTGTCAGGAGCACAGACTGGAGCACAGGACGAAGCACATCGCTCTGCGTTACTTCCTTGCTCGAGAGCTGCAGCACCGTGGTCAGCTTCGTCTTACTTACGTGGCCACTCGGGCCAACACTGCTGATATATTCACCAAGGCACTTCAGCTTGGTGATCATCAGCATTTCTGTAATGTTTTAGGCCTTGTGCCTACTTTCCCTCACTTGCTGATTTCGTGCCTTTGCTTGTACTGTGATCTATATACTTGTACCTGCATGCTTAAACTTGCTAGGTTTTGATCACTGTACTGCTTGTTCCCATGTATAACTCTGCATGTAAACTGGCCTTGTGGCCATTTGTTTGTGCTCAGAGTGTGTGGTGACTTCGTGATCCATTCTGAGCTTGGTTTGTTTTTCTTGACTTGTCTTGTGACCCCTTGTTCTCCCCACTTTGCTTATGGGGGTGTGTCAAACAATAGTGCTGCTTATGTTGTGTAGGCTGTAGTGGGGTAGCCTATATGGGTTACAACCCAATTAAGGTTAGTACCTGTACCACATTTCTGATCAATGCATTCATTCCTGCTCGTTAGTTTCTGACAAGCTGCAGCAGCATGGTCAGCTTCGTCTTGCTTATGTGGCCACACAGGCCAACACTGCTGATGTCTTCTCCGAGGCCCTTGGGTCTGGTGATCATAAGCGTTTCTGCACTGCTCTTGGGCTTGTGCCCACTCTGCCTCACCTGCTTGTCTCTTGATCTTGCCTTGCACTTGTACTTTGATATATATGATTATCCCTGCATGTTAGCACTTGCTAGGTTGTGAATAGTGTACTGCAATTGCTATTATAAACTTTGCATGTGCACTGGCCTTCTGGCCGCTTGCTTGTGCTTAGAATACGTGGTGATCTTGAGATCCATTCTGAGCTTGCTTTGCTTTGTTCTCTTGCTTGACCGATCTTGTGACCGTTGGTTGTGTTTTCTATCCCCCACTTTGTCTATGGGGGTGTTTCAAACTATATGTTTATTAGCTTGTAGGCTACAATGAGGTTCACACTAGAGGGGATATCCCAATTAGGGTTTCCTACTTCCAACTGTTGCCTAGTTCATTCATTCTGCTTTACTGAATCCGACATAGCTTTGATACCAAGTGTTATGAATGAACTTACAGAGTGCCCAATAAAAACAATATTGATAATGTGATTCCAAGGTCTCACACGATACAATGAAAGTGACGAGATTTTACAAAGGAATTTCTAACTAGGCGGAGAGGTCGGGCGATGATGGCTCGGAAAATGTTGCGATTAGAGCGGGGGCGACTAAGGAGTGGTTTGGGGCGACGAAATAGGCCGAAAAGAACTGACACATGGCCCTCGCTAAAATGCGAGTACAGTCAGGAATTACATTTCCTTAGATCTTCGATATTGACGTTAGCGCACTCTTTCATTCAAAGCTCTTACACTTTTAAAGCTTGTAACACTTTCCAAGTTACGAGCCACTCAGGTTTCCAACCAAACCCTTTTCGTGCTCACCCGTTGATCCCACCACCATCACATCACATCTCATTCTTGCCACTGTTCGCTACTTCTTGCTCAGTTCTTTTTTGGCTCTCACTGTGTTGTAATGGCGTCGGGAACTTCCCCACCACCCGATGCGGAGCGGCGAGCGGGGTCGTCGGATCGGAAGCGCGATCGGGATCGGTCGCGAGAGAGGAGCTCGTCGCGCCCCAGGGACGACCGAGGCGGCCGAGGCGACGACCGCGACCGTCGCCGCAGCGATTCGCACGATCGTCGCCACGAGGAGCGCGGCAGGGATCGCGATCGGGACAGAGACAGAGACAGGGACAGAGATAGGGATAGGGAGAGGGACAGGGATAGAGATAGAGACCGGGAGAGGGAAAGGGATCGGGAGCGCGAGAGGGAGCGCGAGCGCGACTACAAGAGGCGGCGGAGCGCGAGTCCGCGGCGGCCCTCGCCGCGATACGGCTCCCCGGGGAAAAGGTTAGTCTTCCTGCCCCCGTCGTGCAATTGTGTGATTCTTTTTTTGGTTTCCCTTTTCAAGCTGAGAGAACCGCCAGTCGCACCGCCGCCGCAGCGCTCTGACCCGCGCTGCGTCTTGCTTCGCCCGCTGCTCATTGCCATCCGGTTTTCTAAATCGCTTAGCTTCTGAATCGTCGCGCGCGGGGGAGGTCGGTGTGTGAAGAGGGGGTCATCGGAAGCGCCTCGCGCGCTTCTCACGCTTCTTGCAGGGCTCCGCTGCGAGACGCTTCGCGTGCCGGCCGGCGCTGGAGCATGATTCCCCTCTACGAAGCTCCGCGCTATGTCTGATTTCGCGCAACTCGTTCTTCCTCCAGTCTTCGTAGTTCTCAGTCCATGGAGCGTTCACTCTCTTCCAGATACGCCTCTCGCCTCTCGCCCCTCAATTTCACGTCGCGTCCCACTCGCCTCTCAGCCGATCAATTCGCTTACCTCTCGCACCGCTCTTGTAAAGTATCTTGCTGGTGATTAGGAGCAGTGCAGACAGAGCATCGTAGTGGTAGCGCGCCCATCGATTCTCGTACTGTAGGAGTAGGAGTAGCGAGCACAATAAGAGTAGCTCACTGCCCAGTGCTGCAAGTGGCACCCTTCGCTCCGAGCGAGTGTAGCAACGCGGCGCTGCTGGTGGTGCTGCTGGTGGTACCGGTGGCGGCGACTCGTCTGCTGGAGGCAAGTCGGTTCCTCTGAGGCATTCCCACTGCCTTCCTCCTCCCTTGCACCTGCTCCGCTCTCCCCTCACTTCCGCACATCTCCCTTCACTGCCGCGCATCTCCGCTCACTGCTGCGCATGTGAGGAAACACATGCGCGTTTCATCCATGCGCGTCTCCCGCCACACCATGCGCGTCCGCCTCACTCATCCCCGCCTGCCCGCCTGCTATCATCGCCGCCTTCAGTCGCTCGCGTCCTGCCGTGCTCACTTTTTCCCACCTCGCCGCTTGCTACCCCTCCCGCCCTGCCCGCGCCACCGCAGGCACCCCTACGACGCGCCGCGCGCCATGCCGCCGTTCGCCCCCGACGATCCCTATGCTCGCCTGCCCGGCCCTCCCGGGCCCCCGCCAGGTACGTGGAGGTACGGGAGTGGAGGTACGGGAGTGGAGGTACGGAAGTGGAGGTACGGAAGTGGAGGTACGGCATTCGAGGTGCCCCATTGGGGTTAATAAATCGGAGGTATGTCCCACCCGCCCCACCACCCGCCCCACCACCCGCCCCACCACCCGCCCCGCTACCCTTTCATACCCCCTGCCTTGGGCCCCCTCGCTGCCTGCTGCCCGCTAACTCGCCCCCCTCCTGTCGCTCCCCCCCACTCTGCCCGCCGCTGCCCCCACCAGGTGCGGATCGCTACAGGCGGCCGTCAGCCTATGACATGCTGCCAGGTGGCGGCGGCCCCCCGCCTCCCCCCATGTACCCGCCGCACTACCCTCCCACCGACGGGCCTCCCCGCAGGTGACGTGGTGGGGTGGGGTGGTGAAGTGGTGGGGTGAGTGGATAAGTGGATGGATGGGTGGTTGGGTGGAGGGGGTGGCGATGGCAGTGGCGGTGGAATGCGCGCCCACGCGGTGGCGGTGGGCACATCTGCTTTGTCCGTGCATCCTCACAGCACATGGCGCCGTGCATCCTCACAGCACATGGCGCCGTGCATCCTCACAGCACATGGCGCCGTGCCTCACTGCCCTCCGTGCCGTGCTGTGTGCTTACCATCGCCGCCCACTCCCCATTGCATCACTGCTCCGTGCTCTGCTCTGCCTTCCCCTCCCGCTGCCTCGTTCTCCCACGGCCACCGCTCCCCACTCATCACCACCCTCGTGTGCCCCCTGTGTGCCCCCTGTGTGCCCCCTGTGTGTCCCCTGTGTGTCCCCCGTGTGCCCTCCGTGTGTCCCCTGTGTGTCCCCTTGTGTGACAGCAGGCCACCGCCAGCTGACGGGCCGCTCACGTACAAGCAGTTCATTGCTGACCTGGACGATGACGTGTCACCTGCTGACGCCGAGAAGAGGTGCGCACATTTGCTCTTCCTTTTTCATTGCTTCTCATGCCCTGCGCTTGGCTCTGTCCTCTGCCCCCTCTGCCCTCTGCCGCTGCTGCCGCCGGTTGGCCTCTCATGTGCTGCACTGCTCATTCGTCTCTCCCTGTTCCACCTCTCCCGCGTCCCCTCGTCACCCTCTCCGCCCCCCCCCCCAACCAGGTATGTGGACTACAAGACCAAGTTCGTGGCGGCACAGAAGAAGGCCTTCTTCCACCACCACAGGAACGACGAGTGGTCAGTCCTCACCGCACCTCACCGCACCTCACCTCACCTCTTTTCAATTGAGCGTAACGTTTGTAGGGTTATCTCAACGTAGAGACAGAACGCTCGTTTTGCCTCTTTGATGGGTTCAAACAACATATTACTTTGTGGTAACGCGTTTTTTGTTGGGGGGGAAGGGGTGGGGGGGTGGTTGTGGCGGCGGGGACAATGAGGGAAGGATGGGAAGGCGTGGGGAAATGGCTGGGAAGATGGGAAATTCGTTCGGAAGGGGGATGAGATGGCATGACAGCTATGGCTGGGAAGGTGGGGAATTCTTATCACAACCCTGACTTATCCCTGCCTTCCACCACCCCACTCCCCCCTTCCCCCTTCCCTGTGCGTGATGCTGCGTGCTCGCTGGCCAGGCTGCGAGCCCTCTACGACCCGGCTCGCCTTGAGAGCCTTGTGGACAGGTGAGCCTTGTGGGCAGGTGAGCCTTGTGGGCAGGTGAGCCTTGTGGGCAGGTGAGCCTTGTGGGCAGGTGAGCCTTGTGGGCAGGTGAGCCTTGTGGGCAGGTGAGCCTTGTGGGCAGGTGAGCCTTGTGGGCAGGTGAGCCTTGTGGGCAGGTGAGCCTTGTGGGCAGGTGAGCCTTGTGGGCAGGTGAGCCTTGTGGGCAGGTGAGCCTTGTGGGCAGGTGAGCCTTGTGGGCAGGTGAGCCTTGTGGGCAGGTGAGCCTTGTGGACAGGTGAGCCTTGTGGACAGGTGAGCTCGTCAGGTCAGGCGTGCTCGCTCCTGCCACGCATCATGCAGCACTGCAGCAGCGCTGTAGCAGCGTTGTTCTATCCGTTCAATTCGCCTATGAGCCCTGCCCATTGCCAGCTCTCTCTCCTTCTGCCCATTGCCTCCGTTTCCCCTCCCCCCCCGCCCCTTTCCCCTCTCCCCTTTCCCCTGTACTCTTCCTCCTGGGCATGCCGTCCCTCACTCCCGCCCGTCCCCCCTGCCCGTGTGGTGCGTGTGTGTGTGTGCACGTGTGTGTGTGCATGTGTGTGTGTGTGCACGTGTGTGTGTGCGCGTGTGTATGTGCACGTGTGTGTGTGCACGTGTGTGTGTGCATGCGTGTGTGTGCGCGCGTGTGTGTGTGCGCGTGTGTATGTGCACGTGTGTCTGTGCGCGTGTGTGTGTGCATGCGTGTGTGCATGTGTGCATGTGTGCGGTGCCCCCCATCAGGCGCATTGAGTTCGCACAGCTGGAGAGCAAGCAGTTCCTTGAAAGCCTGCAGCGCGGCGATGCCGACCTGTCAGTGCCACATCCCCTCACTCACTGCCTCGTCACTTCTCTCCTCTCTCCCTCGCACACCTTTTCACGCTCTCTTGCTCTCCCTCTTTCCCTGCTCCTCATGCCGTTTCTTCTCGTTGCACTCCTCCCGCCCGCCCTCAATGCGCCACTGCCTGCTCGCCTCGTTTCTCTCATCTCATGCCATCACCTCACCCCACCCCATGCCCTGCCTTCCCTCTCCCCCCCCTCACCTTCTCCCTCCCCGGCTCCAAACCACCCCCTCCGCCACCCACCAGCGGCCCCTACGCGGATCCACGAGATCCCCTAGCAGCCACAGACGCCAGGCGGCGCAGCGCCTCCTTTCGCCCGTCGCTGGCGCATGACGCCGCCACCGCCGCCGCCTCTGCGCCGCGCGTCCCCGCTGCTGCAGGGCAGGCGGCGCGCGTGGCGCACGACCTGGAGAGGGCGCGGGCGCTGGTGGGCAAGCTGGACGCGGAGAAGGGGCTGTGGGGCGCAGAGGGGGGCAACTTCCTGGTGGGGGAGAACCAGGCGGGCGCGGAGGACGAGGCGGTGAAGATCCGCGTGCCCGCGGGGGAGGGCGGAGGGGAGGCGCGGTGGCTGGCGGGCGTGGCGCTGCTGGACGCCGTACTGACGTACCTGTGGCGCGTGCACGGCGCCGACTACTACGGTGGGACGGAGCTGCGCGGGCTGCCCAAGGGGCTGCGCCACGTGCGCGCGGATGAGGGCGGGGAGGGCAAGGGGGAGGGCGCAGGGGGAGGGGAAGCTGGGGAGGGGTTCGAAGCTTGGGCGCGGCGGGTGGATGAGAAGTGGAGGGTGCGCGTGGGGGCGGAGGGGGAGGACCCGGTGGTGGCGCTGGTAGGCAAGGCGCGCGTGGAGGCGCGCATGGGGGGCGCGATGGAGGGCATGGTGCGCAAGATCAAGGACGACAAGTACGGGTGGAAGTACGGCTGCTCCGCGCCCGGGTGCTCGAAGCTGTTCCACGGGCCTGAGTTCGTGATCAAGCACCTCAAGCTCAAGCACCCCGAGCAGGTGGCGGAGCAGACCAACCGCGTCAAGGAGGAGGTGTATGAGGAGAACTACATGCGGTGAGGGCGGGGGGGTGGCGGGGGGGTGGCGGTGAGAGGGGGGGGTTGGCGGTGAGGGGGGGGGTTGGCAGTGAGGGGGGGGGTTGGCGGTGAGGGGGGGGGGGGTTGGAGTACCGGTGAGGGGATGGTGGGTTGAAAGGTGGTGCAGGATGGGAGTGTGTGGGATGTGTGAGTGTCATTTGAGGGTGGCTCACTGAATGAGATGTGAGTGCACTGGGAGAGGAGCGTGTGACTGTCTTGCCTCGCCATACAGCCTGCTGCTGCCCATTCCCCTCCACTTGGCCTCACATCATTCCCTCTCCTTCATCCTGTCCGTCCTCCCCTCACTCCCACCATGCAGCGACCCCAACGCCCCTGTTAGGGGAAGGGAGGACAGGGAGAGAGACAGAGAGAGGGAGAGGGAGCGGGAGAGGGGAGGGCACGGCCACTCGCCGGTGCCCATGTCGGCCCGTCTGGGTGCGCGACTGCCCCCCCCGCCCGACCCCTTTGCCTTCCCCCCCGACCGCTTCGACCGCCCCCCGCCCTTTGACCACCCTGCTGGCGGCCCCCCTCCCCCCATGGGCGCTCCCCCCCCCGACGCTGGGGAGCCCTTTCCAGGGGAGAGGGGGGGGCGGTACGAGGGGGATGTGTTTGACCGTCGCGGGGGCAGGGGGCGGGGGGGCGAGGGGGAGAGGTACGAGAGGAGGGGGCGGGAGGATGGGCCGGAGGGGATGGAGAGGTTTGATGGGGGCGGGGGAGGGGAGTTCATGGGGCCGGGGGGAGGCGGGGGGATGTTTGAGGAGAGGGGGCCGCCCATGGACGGACCCCCCCCGCCCATGCTCATGGCCGGCCCGGGCGGGCCTCTGGACGGGCCGCCCGTGTTTGACGTCTTTGACGGCCCGCCGCCCCCGCTGCCGCCCTTTGGGCCGCCCATGCCGCCGCACATGGGACGAGGCCCGCCGAGCGGCCCAGGAGGGCCGTTTGGTGGGCCGCTGCCACCCGTGCTCATCCCCGTGCCCGGTGCTGGGTGAGTGGCGTGGTTGGGGGCGGGGTGGAGGGCAAGGTGCATGTGTTGGTGAGGGCCGAGGGGGGGGGACGTGTGGAAGGGTCGGGGCAGATGTGGGTGGTCTGGAGGGGTGGGAGTGGTTGGCCCTAGCCAAGGGTGTTGATCACTCGACTGGCAGCAGATTCATACTGCAGCATCGCCATCACCAACCTCTGCTTTCCCTGCCATCTCCTCCTTCCCCTCCCCCCCCTTCCTTCTCTCTTTTCCCCCCATCCATCCCCTCTCCCCACCCCTCTCTCCTCTACCTGTCCCCCACAGCCCCCTAGGCCCGTTCCTGCCGGCCCCGCCAGACCTAGCGGCACGCATACTGAGGGACCCCTCCTTCCGCCCACCGCCGTCACTCTTTGATGGCTTCGACGGCCCACCGCCCCTGCCGCCCTTCGACGGGCCGCCCCTGGACCTGCCCCCTGATGCGCCCCTCCCCCCCGCCTCTGCGCCCGGCCCTGCTCCTGGCGGCGAGGAGGGGCGCTCCCCACCTCCCTCGTCAGGGGGCGGGGGAGGGGCACGCGGGGAGGCAGCACGGGGGAGAGCAGGGGCAGGAGGGAGGGACGGGGGAGGGGGGAGGGCAAGAGGGGGACGGGAGGGCCCGTATGGCAGTCCGGGGAGGTTTGGGGGGATGGGCATGGGGATGCGAGGCATGGGCATGGGCATGGGCGGGATGGGGATGGGCATGGGCATGGGGCCGATGGGAATGATGCCCATGATGGGCGGGCCGCCTCATGACCCCCGCGGCATGCGCAGGTATGGTGTTGTGCAGGTGTGGTGGCATGCGCAGGTATGGAAGCATGTGTGCACGGACGTATGGTGGCATGTGTGCACGGAGGTATGGTGGCATGTGTGCATGGAGGTATGGTGGTGTGTATGCATGGAGGTATGGTGGTGTGTGTGCATGGAGGTATGGTGGCATGTGTGCATGGAGGTATGGTGGTGTGTGTGCATGGAGGTATGGTGGTGTGGGTGCATGGAGGTATGGTGGTGTGGGTGCATGGAGGTATGGTGGTGTGGGTGCATGGAGGTATGGTGGTGTGTGTGCATGGAGGTATGGTGGTGTGGGTGCATGGAGGTATGGTGGTGTGGGTGCATGAAGGTATGGTGGTGTGGGTGCATGGAGGTATGGTGGTGTGGGTGCATGGAGGTATGGTGGTGTGGGTGCATGGGTGATGACTCATGTGTGGCCGTCATCTGCAGCTTGAGCCATGCCATGCCAGTCACGCTGCTGCAAACAGTGCGTGTCCCTCTCTCTCTCTCCGCTCTGCCCCACCCTCCCCTGTGTGCAGCTATCGCGACTTGGATGCACCGGATGACGAGGTCACTGTCATCGATTACCGCAGCCTCTGACCCTCTCATCCGCTCATCCGCTTGCTCGTCCGCTCAACCTCGCTTGCCCTGCTGCGTGCTATCATCAGTGTTGCTCCGCCTCTCTTGCAATCTGTGGCGGAATTTAGGGCGCGCCCATGCCGTTCATCGGAAATGTGGGAGTCAGTCACTTCCATGCCGGTCTTCTAGTACATCCTTGAGAAGAGTTTTTCATAGACTGGAGGTTTTAGTAGAAGGCAGTGGAAGTGTATGGAGAGTAGAGTGGGGCTTTTCAGAATGAACAATATGACATTAGTGTAACGAATACACAGTAAAAAGTGATAGATAGTGAATACCCTGTTTGTTTCCCTTCCCAACCAACCCTGTTGTGTATATCGAGCTATATTAGAACAGGACTTGTACGTAAATTTTCTTCCAGAACCGGGTTGACGAGACCAATGAACAAAGACATTATTCTGGGCGACCAGTCGCAGTTCACCTTCAGTACAGCAACGAACTTCTCAATATGATGGATGCTCGTCTGCACGAAGTAATCGCGAGGCAGGGCCGAATTCGGGTCAACTCTGTTCCAGCACATACGCGACTCGCCACGCCGGGTTGCGAATCTCGGTGGATGGTATTGATGGTAACAACGCGGCTTCGTCTCAGTCAAATGTCCGTCGCCAAGATTTTGCGATGTTCAAGTGCGCCGGCGCAACTCGGCTGCTTTCGTCACTCAGCACATCATTTTCTTGCACAATTATTGCTTACTCTGTTCTGCTGCATTCACAGTTTAGGCATCGCGTTCGCCACTTCAGAAGCGTTGGCCTTCTGCACGCCATCCAACCTAGCTTCGAAAGTTGAAACCTGCCAGGTTAACATCTAGTAGCACTAGCAGCGTCTCCGCCTCTCCCAAACCTCGAGCCCCACACCGCACTCCCAATTGATCCGCCATATATGACGGCCAGAGACATATCCCTCCTCGAAATCGCGCTTCTCCTTTTATTCACGTGTCAATGCCCCGCCATTCGAGCTCACCGTAGTAAGCCACGTCACACCGTCCTTGCTCCTGCCTGAATTGATCTCTTGTCCTAGATCCGGTTCGACTGCTCGCAATAATAATCTTCCGATGCAGTCATCCTCGTCCCAGCCCCTCGTTCCTTTCTCGCTTCATCTCATCCGTCGCTCCTCTTTCCCTCCATCCTGCGCCGACCGCAGCGCCCACGCCCAAGTTCACGTCACTCTATATCGTGCGTCTGCGCTCCGCCCTTCCCCTCGCCGCGTATCGGGGCGGGATAGCGAGCTTCCCGGGATGGATGGACGGCGACGACGACGAATCGGCCGGTCCGTCCAGTCTGCGGGCGGCGGTGGAGACGGTTGCGCACGAGGCGGCGACGCTGGCGGGCAGCATTCCGCGGCGCGCGCGTTTGAGCATGGAGAACCCGCAGCTCAAGGCGTACGCGCAGATGCTCGAGACGCAGCAGACGCGAATCGCGGCTGACGTGGGCGTGACGTCAGACCGCATCGTGTACAAGTACGTGGGGTGAGACTGTCACGAGTAAGGCCGGAACCAGCAGCTCGCATGTTTGAGAGCCCTGGTTACATCATGATAACTCCCCACATCATTCGGGAGGCACCGCAGCACTAATTTCGATGCGAAAGTGAAAGGCGTTGGGGCCAAAATTTACCCGTAAACCAAGGTGATTTTGGAAACCCACAAACTTCATGCTCAAACTTGCCCCTCGACCGTACTACCCAGCCTTCCCTCACCTTCCCTCCTCCATCACTTCCCCTCACCCCCCTTACTCCCCTACCCTTCCCCCCTCCCCCAGCTACATGCACGTGAGCAACGGCTTCGCAGCCACCCTCCCCGCAGCAGGTGCGGCGGCTGCAGCGGCACCCGGCGGTGGCTGCAGTGATGCGCAGCTGCAGAGTCACGCCGCTCACCATCGACTCCCCCACCTTCCTCGGCATGCGCGGCCCCGGGTCCCTGTGGCCCGCCAATGGCGGGCAGGCAAAGGCGGGCGAGGGGATGGTGGTGGGCGTGGTGGATTCGGGCATCTGGCCCGAGCACCCCTCCTTCACCGATGCCGCCTTCCCCTCCTCGCGCCTCGCTGTCTGGTCGGGCAAGTGCGATGCGACGAGCGAGTTCAAGTGCAGCAACAAGCTCATTGGCTTTAAGGAGGACACCGGTGTCCCGGACCTGTCGAAAGACTGGCTGTCGCCTCGCGATTCGTACGGCCACGGCAGGTGTGCAGGGTACGTGGTGTGCAGGGCACGTAGTGTGCAGGGCACGTGGTGAGCAGGGCACGTGGTGTGCAGGGCACGTGGTGAGCAGGGCACGTGGTGTGCAGGGCACGTGGTGTGCAGGGCACGTGGTGTGCAGGGCACGTGGTGTGCAGGGTGCATGGTGTGCAGGGTACGTGGTGTGCAGGGTGCATGGTGTGCAGGGTACGTGGTTTTGCCTAAATCTTCATGTTGAATCTGAGATGATCAACTGGATCCCACCCCTGACACCTCCTCAAACTGCCTCCCGGGCCACTTGTGAGCTGGATGCTTCTATCCATCTCTCACCTCGCCACTCCCCCCCTCCTCCACCCCACTTGAGATCCTCCTCATTTGTGAGAAGCTTGTGACCTGCTTATGAGACGCGCATTCCCCATCTATCCTCTACTGCGCAGTGCAGCAGCGGGCAACAGGGACGTGGCCATGGCGGGCGGCAGGGCGAGCGGCATGGCGCCAGCAGCGCGCGTGGCGGTGTACAAGGTGCTGTGGTACGCGGAGGGCTCCTTCTTCGGCGTGCAGGCGGACGTGGAGGCGGCAGTCAACCAGGCCGTGGCGGACGGCGTGGATGTCATCTCGCTCTCGCTGGGCGGCGTGGATGCCACCGACACCTACTTCCACCACATGCCGTACCTCGCTGCTAACCTCGCGGGGGTGCTTGTTGCCTTCGCCGCGGGCAACGGTGGCGCGCCGGGCTATGACCCAAGCGGTTACCGCACCATTGAGAACTTCTCCCCGTTCTACCTCACAGTGGGGGCAAGGTGAGCCGCCCTCTCCCTCCCTTCCCTCTTACCACCGCAAGAGCGGATGAGCAGGTAATCGCATACAGGTTTGCTCGTGGTGTGCCAGGTGGGCAGCTTCACTAGCTTCACTACCCTCACTGCTCAACATCCCTTGCCACCACTCTGCTTCCTCCAGTACTCCGCCAATAATAACTTCCGGGCTTTTCCTCTTCTCTCCTCCCTCTCCTCGTTCTCTTCCCTTCCCCTCCTCCCACCTCCCTCGACCTCCCTGCAGCACCATTGGGCGAGGCGGTATAACCCTGAAGGCTGCTGCACTGGCAGGTGCAGCTCGCAGCAACACATCATCTGTCTCAACCACCCCTGCAGCTACAGCCTACCCGTCCGTTGCCGATTTCTCCTCCACCGGACCCCTCAGGGACCCTTCCACTGACGCCACCGCCACCCTCCCCACGAACAGCATTTTAAAGCCCGACATTGTCGGCCCGGGCGTGGATCTGTACGCTGCGTGGCCGGCTGAGAAGGTGGGGAGGCCAGGGAGCTACGCGCAGCTGTCAGGGATGTCGATGTCAACGCCTCACTTGGCGGGCATTGCTGCTCTCATCATGCAGAAGCACCCCTCGTGGAGCCCCGCGCAGGTCATGTCCGCCATCATGACCACCGCCAAGACCACTGACACCAGCGGTGCTGCCATCGATAATGGCTATGGTGAGGCTGCTACTCCGTGGGAGATGGGGTCTGGCCAGGTGTTCCCACCCAAGCTGCTGGATCCCGGGCTCACATACGACGCCCGGGCAGCTGCTTATCGGAACTTTCTAGCTGGGCAGAGTATGAAGCAAGCAAAGAAGCACTTCCCATGAGCTAGGCTTACGGCGGTTTCTCCCCGTGAAACGGGCGGCGACAGCAAACAGGACGGTCACAAACGTTGGTGACTCCTCCTCCACATATACAGCTAGAATCCGGCCTCCTAGTGGAGTCTCCATCACAGTTTCACCCAACAAATTCACAATTGCTCCGGGTAAAAGGGTAACCTTGATGGTGACGTTCAAAGTGATGAACACGTGTGAGAGCTTCCAGTTTGGAAGCCTAACATGGGTTGCTGGTCAAGGGCACTCTGTGACAACAGTGCTTGCGGTTCAACCCATCAAGAAGTGACCTGGCATGTACTATCGTAATGCAAAATAGCTGGTGTAGCACATTCGTGGGTTGGGTTGCTATTACGATCTGTGCTGGTCAAGGGCTGCAGCGTGTGCAGCATTGTGTGTTTGTGCAACACTGAACACATCATCTTCTTGCCACAGTCCTGGCGCTACGGTACTTGCTTGCCACTACCGCATTGTGCATTCCTTTACGGCCTGGCTGGCTGTGTTTCTCACAATGACTGGTGGTACTGCGTGCAGTGTATGCAGCCCCAGAAGCAGCAACGATTTCTATTCCACGGTATTGCCCTGAGAAAAGCATGCAGTTCCACCGTACTAGACCATTTTTAATGTTTTTTAAGGGTGATATACTGTACCACATTTTTTACAATGATATACCATGAATCTTGTTGTGCAGAGCATCGGATCTAGACCCGCAGAGGAAGACAGAAGCTACAGGGCGTCAAGGACGGTCTTGTGAGCGCGCACGCATGCAGTGGTGCAGTAGTTGAAGGCGAGGCGGGAGAAGGGCGTCCTGCCCGCCAGCGATGCTCCACACGAGTCGCAGCAGCTGCCTGCAGCAGTGCTGGCGGGGGAGGCATGGTGGGCGGTGGTAGGCGCAGCGGTGCCCCCGGCCAGCTGCTGCACACGCCTCTCCGCCGCTGCTGCCCTCTCCTCCCTCTCCCTCGCCCTCCTCTGCTCCTCCTGCACACCACACAGCACAGCACAGATACGGTACATGCGTGCAGGCGCGTCACCAAGCCACGGAACAAAATCGTCAGCATTTGCATGAGTGGCTGCAGGAGGCTTGAGCAGGCAGTGGTTAGACTCAAGGCGACACAGTGACCGGAGGCACGTGCAGTGCAGCACATGGAGGGCGAAAGGAAGCACGCAGAGAGGGAGAGGAAGGCAGCATGGAGGCATGCGCCTTACAGTCTCTGCAGGCGATGCGCGTGTCGACGATGGCGCTGGTGGCGCGCTCTGGTGGAGGGCTTGCTGCTGCTCGGGGCACGGGGTTGGTGGGGGGAGGGGTGAGGGGCGAGGCACGGTTGCACACACAGAGATGCGTTGCAAGGACGGGAGAGAGGTGCACGGATGAGGATGGCGGAAGGAAGGGAAACAGGCATGAGGCATCAGGGGGGAGGAGTTCACATGAGAATGGTTGTGCTCTTGATTAAGGAGGTTGGGTCAGTGCGATGAGAGCAAGGGGAAGGCTGATAGCAGCAGTAGCGGGTGGTGCTGATAGCAGCAGCAGCGGGTGGAGCAACCCCCCACAACCATCTATCCAGCCTAGACAGTGTGTGCTTTAGACCACTAAGCATTCCCACCCTCCCCATCCCCACCTTGCGCTCTCTCTCCTCCTGCTTCTTCCTCTGCCTCCTCTCCTTCTCCTTTGCCTTCTTCTTCGCTTCCTTCTCTGCCTGCCAACCTCACCACGTGCACCAAGCACGGCAGCACGATGGGGAAGTGCAGGGGGGCAGGGAGGAGGTGCTGTCCAGTGAGAGCGAGGCCAATGCATCATGAAATGCGGCGAGCAGTGCATGGCATGCAGCATGGCGCATGGGGTATGGGGTATAAGGCATGGGGTATGGTATGGGGTATGGGGCATGGGGTATTGGGTATGGGGCATGGGGTGTGGCGACAGCATGACATCCTGGTCATTGTGGCAGGGAACTGAGTCTAGCCAATCAAAGCTCACTTGAGCTCAACTTACTCTAAAGTCGAGGTTCAATCTGGACAATACCGTAGTCTCTTTTGTCTGCAAAATATTCCAACGACATCTCGTCCCAAGGCTACCAGGCGTCCAAGCCCACGCTTGCAAGCCTCACCCACCGCGCTGCTCTGCTCTCATTCCTCTCCGCCACCATTCCCCCCCCCACCTGGCGGGCGGCCTGGGAGGCCTGGAGCTCTTCAGTGAGGGCGCTGGGCACAGCAGCGGCGTGCCAGTCCCACTGCTGCGGGTGGGCTGCCATGTGGCGGCGGAAGGCGTCCCGCGTGGCCTTGTTGGCCGCCACCACGTACGCCACTCGCCCCCTGCCGTCCCGCCCCGTGGGGTCACTGCCCTGCTGCAGCAGGCGAGCCACCTCCGCGTGGTTGCCTGCACGGGGAGAGGGGCGTGCATGGTCGCGGCACATGAATGCATGGTCGCGGCACATGAATGCATGGTCGCGGCACATGAATGCATGGTCGCGGCACATGAATGCATGGTCGCGGCACATGAATGCATGGTCGCGGCACATGAATGCATGGTCGCGGCACATGAATGCATGGTCGCGGCACATGAATGCATGGTCGCGGCACATGAATGCATGGTCGCGGCACATGAATGCATGGCGTGGGAGGAGAGAGGCCGCACATAGGAGAGCGGCACCACAGGGCCATGCTCACTTGGATTGTATTCCCAAGTTGGGACACCATCGAAGTTCTTCCACCGCCAGCACTTTTTGGGGGTGGATGGTGTCCGTGCGGAATGTTGTCTAGTTTAAACATGAGACTAAATTAGGCGTGCGACCAGGTTCGTCAGAATCGCCTGACGGTTGTTGGATCATGCCCAATCAGAGCGCGGAAACAGTAAACAGCCACATTTACTTGGGCGGCCTGGGAAAAACATTCACCATAGGCTCATTGGTTGTTGTTGGCAGATTTTTCAGGGTTCGTGACGGTCAAGATTGTAAGTTGAAGTCCGAAATTCCCCGATCGTCCATGTCGCATTTTGACCTGCGCATCAGGCGCGCGTGACTTGACCAGTGTGTTGCTTGGTGTCCAGACTTGGGACCGCGTGGAGCAACATTGAAATTCCACGTTGACATTTCGAGTTGCGTGGGTGGTGTCCCGACTTTGGAATACAACCTTACTTTGAATGGGTGTGATGGGCGTGATGAGTGTGATGCAAACGCGGCAAACACACATGGAGCAAGCAATGCACTCGTGCAGCGCAGTGAATCTTGCAGCACAGAGCACAGAGAATCACGTCTCTCACCATTAACCACCACACCCTCGCTGTGCCACCCACCCACCCACCCACCTGCAGCAGCTGCCACATGGAGTGCCGTTCTCACCCATCCTTGCCCCGCTGCCTCCTTCTCCTCCACCTCCCCTCCACTGGCCCCACTCGCCTCTCCTCTCTCCTGCCCTTCCCCATCTCCCTGCAACTCCACATGCCCATCTCCGTCTCTTCCTGTGTCCTGCATCCCGTCTTCCAGCCCCCTGTCTTCTCCCTGCACCGCCTCCCTTTGCTCTGCCCTTTCTTCCCGCGCCCTCACTGCCGCCACCCCCTTGCCGCCACCCACAGCACCCGATTCCCCTTCCCCACACTCCACTCCCGCCGCCCCGCCCTCTTCCCCCTGCGCCCCCCCCAGCACGTGCACGTGTGCCAGGGAGTGCGCCACGCGCAACGCCTCCTTGACGGTGGGGCGGCGCACGGGGAAGGGCACGCGCCGCACGCGCGGGTCGCGCGCCGCCAGCAGCCCCGCCACAGCCCCCCCTGTGCCCCGACTAGCGTGAGCCTCTGCCGCGGTGCCGAAGAGTGCAGCGCGGTTGAGTGCGGTGGCGTGTACGAAGATGAACTGTGCGCGCGCCAGGTAGGGCTGCCAGTGCTGCAGCAGGGCTCGGATGTCCTGAGGGCGCGGGGGGAGGTGGGATCGGGGGGAGGTGGGATCGGGGGGGAGGAAGCAACAAGGTAGGGGGACTGAATCAAGGGAATGAAAGCGGGTGAGGGTAGGAGAGCAAAACCAGACTTGCGGGAAAGGAGGGGAAGGGCAGACGGGCCCATAGAAGGAAAAGGAGACACCATTGCATTCACCATCTCCCGCTCATCGCCCCCCACCCCACCTTGACAAGAGCCGCCTCGTTGTAGCGCCTCAGACTGGCCCCCGCTGACTGCGGCGCTCTGCCCGCTCCGTCCCTCGTTGCCTGCCGCCCGCCCGCCTTGGCTCGCACCACGTACCTGATGGGGGGCCGGGCGGGCAGCAGTGCACAGGGGCGGAGAGGTGGACGTGGGTGGAGAGGGGAGGGGGAGTGGGGTGCAAGGAGAGGTACAGTGACGTCAGCCATGGCCAGCTCCCCACCAGTCCATGTCACACGGCTCCTCCTTCCCGTCTCACATCCCCCCCACGTCATTCCCACTGTGACGCTCAATCCCGCCCCACCACCCATGCATGTGCCCCACCACCCATGCATGTGTGCCCCACCACCCATGCATGTGTGCCCCACCACCCATGCATGTGTGCCCACCACCCATGCATGTGTGCCCCACTACCCATGCATGTGTGCCCACCACCCATGCATGTGTGCCCCACTACCCATGCATGTGTGCCCCACCACCCATGCATGTGTGCCCCACTACCCATGCATGTGTGCCCACCACCCATGCATGTGTGCCCACCACCCATGCATGTGTGCCCCACCACCCATGCATGTGTGCCCACCACCCATGCATGTGTGCCCACCACCCATGCATGTGTGCCCACCACCCATGCATGTGTGCCCCACCACCCATGCATGTGTGCCCACCACCCATGCATGTGTGCCCCCCACCCATGCATGTGTGCCCACCACCCATGCATGTGTGCCCACCACCCATGCATGTGTGCCCACCACCCATGCATGTGTGCCCCACCACCCATGCATGTGTGCCCCACCACCCATGCATGTGTGCCCCACCACCCATGCATGTGTGCCCCACCACCCATGCATGTGTGCCCCACCACCCATGCATGTGTGCCCCACTACCCATGCATGTGTGCCCACCACCCATGCATGTGTGCCCACCACCCATGCATGTGTGCCCCACCACCCATGCATGTGTGCCCACCACCCATGCATGTGTGCCCACCACCCATGCATGTGTGCCCACCACCCATGCATGTGTGCCCCACCACCCATGCATGTGTGCCCACCACCCATGCATGTGTGCCCCCCACCCATGCATGTGTGCCCACCACCCATGCATGTGTGCCCACCACCCATGCATGTGTGCCCACCACCCATGCATGTGTGCCCCACCACCCATGCATGTGTGCCCCACCACCCATGCATGTGTGCCCCACCACCCATGCATGTGTGCCCACCACCCATGCATGTGTGCCCACCACCCATGCATGTGTGCCCCACTACCCATGCATGTGTGCCCACCACCCATGCATGTGTGCCCCACTACCCATGCATGTGTGCCCCACCACCCATGCATGTGTGCCCACCACCCATGCATGTGTGCCCACCACCCATGCATGTGTGCCCACCACCCATGCATGTGTGCCCCACCACCCATGCATGTGTGCCCACCACCCATGCATGTGTGCCCCACCACCCATGCATGTGTGCCCCACCACCCATGCATGTGTGCCCCACCACCCATGCATGTGTGCCCCACCACCCATGCATGTGTGCCCCACTACCCATGCATGTGTGCCCCACCACCCATGCATGTGTGCCCCACCACCCATGCATGTGTGCCCACCACCCATGCATGTGTGCCCACCACCCATGCATGTGTGCCCCACCACCCATGCATGTGTGCCCACCACCCATGCATGTGTGCCCCACCACCCATGCATGTGTGCCCCACCACCCATGTATGTGTGCCCCACCACCCATGCATGTGTGCCCCACCACCCATGCATGTGTGCCCCACCACCCATGCATGTGTGCCCACCACCCATGCATGTGTGCCCCACCACCCATGCATGTGTGCCCACCACCCATGCATGTGTGCCCCACCACCCATGCATGTGTGCCCACCACCCATGCATGTGTGCCCACCACCCATGCATGTGTGCCCCACCACCCATGCATGTGTGCCCACCACCCATGCATGTGTGCCCCACCACCCATGCATGTGTGCCCCACCACCCATGTATGTGTGCCCCACCACCCATGCATGTGTGCCCCACCACCCATGCATGTGTGCCCACCACCCATGCATGTGTGCCCCACCACCCATGCATGTGTGCCCCACCACCCATGCATGTGTGCCCCACCACCCATGCATGTGTGCCCCACCACCCATGCATGTGTGTCCCACCACCCATGCATGTGTGCCCCACCACCCATGCATGTGTGCCCCACCACCCATGCATGTGTGCCCCACCACCCATGCATGTGTGCCCCACCACCCATGCATGTGTGCCACACACACTTTCCCATCTCTCCTCCTCCTGCATTCCGCCTGCTCCCCCCAGGCCACGCACCGGTGGAAGGAGCGGTGGGCGAGCACGGCGCCGTGGGAGGCGGCGTCCACCACCACGCCCGCGAAGTGCCCCCCCGAGCTCAGCACCACCACCCACACGCGCTCCCCGCCTTGCCCCCCGCCGCCCCTCTCCTGACCCCCCGACTTCGCCACCAGCGTGCCTCCTCTCCCCGCCTGCACCTGTGCTGCACCCCCGCCTGCCTTGCCCCTCGCTGACTCCACCCCCCCACCCCTCTTGCTCCTTCCCCCATCCGTTTCCCCAGCCTCCGCGCTTCCGTCCCCCCCTCCTCTGAATGCTCCCCCATGCGCCGCCCCTGCGCCCTCCCCCAGCGCCACCAGCGCCTGCAGCAGATCTGCGCCCTCCTCTGGCAGGGGCAGGGCGGCAGAGGCGAGCAGCGGGAAGGGGAGGAGTGCGGGGGGAATGGGCAGGCAGGGGGAAGAGTGAGCAGTGCACAGCAGGGAACAATGGGGAGGTGAGCAGAGTGGGGGGAAGCACACACCTGGGGGGAAGAGCGCACCTGGGGGGAAGAGCGCACCTGGGGGGAAGAGCGCACCTGGGGGGAAGAGCGCACCTGGGGGGAAGAGCGTGCGCCAGAGGGCGAAAGTGACGCCCGTGTGGGGCAGCACGAAGTGCACCTTCGCCCCCCGCCCTGCCCCTGCCACCTTCCCCTCCCCCTGCTGCTGCTGCCCCTCGTCCGCGTCCTCCCCTCCCTGCTCGTCCTCCGACCCTGAAATGCTCGACCAGTCATCGTCGTCTTCCCCCCCCTCTCCCCGCTCCTCTGCTGTCCCGCCCGCCCCGCCACTCACAGCAGCGCCGGCATCCGCACTGCCCTGCGTGCCCCGGCTCCTCCCCCCATTCCCCCCCCCTTCCCCCGCGCGCCTGGCGTCCAGCAGCGCCGCAAAGGCCTCCTCCGACAGCGCTGCGCGCCCACATGCCCGGCGCTTGACCTGGTGGGGGGCGAGGAGAGGGGGGGAAGAGGATGAGAGCAGCGGAGGGAAGGACAGGAGAGGAGAGGAGAGGAGGGGGAGCAGAGGCAGAGGATAAGTGCAGATGACGGGGAAGGAGCGCAAAAGAAGGTGGGGTTATAGTGGCATGTAAGGCATGGGGGCAAAGGGAGCATGGGGGCAACGAGCATGGGGCAAGGGATGTGCTGGCAAGGGATGTGCTGGCAAGGGATGTGCTGGCAAGGGATGTGCTGGCAAGGGATGTGCTGGCAAGGGACGCGGCAGTAGTGGGTGGGGGCATGGTGGCATGGGTTTTTAGGGGACATGGTTGCATGGGGGCACTGGGGGCACGGGGTGGGGCCATGGCATGGGGAACAGCAGGGCGGCGCACGTTGAGGCGGTGCCAGTCGCTCTTGAAGTGCGCGCGCTGCTCCGCCACGTCATCAAACGTCTCCCCGCAACTCCAACACGTCAGCCCTCGCCTCGGCCCGCCCAAGCCCTTGCTGCCGTCACTCGCGCCCCTCTCCTCCGCGCCCTCCGCGCACTGGGCGGCTTCAGTCCGACCGCCGTCCGACGGCGGAGCGGCTGCTTGGCGGCGCTGCGCCGGCGTCTCGACGCCCGCCGACTGCGTTGCCCCGCCAGGGCCTGGCGGAAGCGAGTCGGGAGCGGCGGAGGCGAGGAGGGCAGCGCGGAAGGGGAAGGGGCCCTTGGCGAACAGCGAAGGCGGAAGCGCTGCTCCCTCGGCGCCCTCACTAGGGGACGCGCCGTCGGCTCCGCGAAGCTGCGCCCGGCGTGAAGGCTTGCTGGCCATGGCTGACGCTCAGGCACCCAACCTCCCAGAATTGCATCGTGCTACTGATTTTGCATCTAAGGGTGCGTTTCTATCCCGTGTCAGACTTCAATTGTCCCTTAGTCTCCAATTTGTCTCTTCCGAACTTCCAATCGCCCCCAAAACGAGCCACTTCGGGTCTTCCGAACCTCCACTTCGTGTCAAACCTAATGTCTGACACGGGATAGAAACGCACCCTTAATTGTAAGGAATTTCCCTTTTCCTTAAAGCTGAAGTATACATTTGTCATCCAGGTTTTGGGTTTAGAAAGTCACCTCACGGTCTCACAGGCAAACTTTCAAATTTCAAAAGTTTTTTAACCCCTTCTGTCAAATGTATACGAAAGCTTTAAAGCAACAGTATACTTTTGCAAGCAGGGGTTTCAAAAACCTTAGGAACTTGAACAAGATTCGACGTTAACGTCGGAAGGGTTGCGTAGGACTTATATTTTTCGTGCTAAGACATGATGAACTGCTTGATATTATAACAACTAAATATGTCTTTTTATAACATGCTTGTAAGTTCTTTATTTCGTTACTGCTCATGGTAACTTTTTACTACCATTGATTGTAGTTAATGGCAGAATATTTAAAGACCTATAAGTATATTTGTTTTCCTAAGCAATATTGTTTCTAATGAGTTTGTGTATTTGCAGCCAAATCTTGTGTGTCACAAACAGCTAAAAATTAGCATCTACAAATTTCTTGATTTTGGCGAGTATAAAGGAACTGGTGTATTTCGATTGTGAAAACTGGTTCATGCCTCGTTGGCAGAAAATTTTCTTGCCAGCGCTACACCAACCCAACCAAACCTTTCCCCACTGTCAACTCTGCTCCCTTGGGAGTCCCGTTTCTTGAATTCAAGCACCTGCTCGACTCTGATCTCCCCAAATACCTTCCCACTCGTTTTTTTAGAACCACCTTGCCGTCACCTCTCCCTCACTCTCGGCCGTCGCCTCACCTCACCCCCCACCGTCGCCTCTCCCTCCCTCCCCGCCGTCGCTCTCCCTTCCTCCTCGTCGTCGCCTCTCCCTTCCTTCCCGCCGTCGCCTTTGGTGGGTTGTTGCACGACCACGCGTTGTTTTCTTAGGCACGGTTGTCTCAGGTGCGTTTGCTATTCTCTCCGAAATGTCCTATTTTTTCCACTTTCCTCGTAAGTTCTCAATGCCGATTGGTCTCCTCTTAGCACTGTGCCTCCATTTAAGAAGGGGAGAGAGGGAGTGTGAGGGAGTGTGTGCGCACGGGAGCGAGCACGCAGGCGCATAGCGCGCTGGCGCCTAACGGGCTGGCGCCAAACGCGCTGGCGCCTAGCGCGCTGGCGCCTACCGCGCAGGCGCCTAGAGCGCGCCTAGCGCGCTGCCGCCTAGCGCGTTGGCGCATAGCGCGCTGGTTCCTAGCGCGCTGGCGCCTAATGCGCAGGCGCCTAGAGCGCTGGCGCCTAACGCGCTGGCGCTTGCTGCGCGGGTGTAACGCCTGTGGGCTGTGTTAAGGGCACTCCGCTTCGCCAAATAACACCCTCGTTTTGACCCAGTGGGTAGCGAGGTGTTACATTTGGAATCAGAGCCTAGGGTTCGAATCCCGGCTGGACCACACTTTCCTCCTTTGGCGAGAACTGAAGTGCGGTTGTAACCAGCTTGAACCCAGCGAACGATCCTCCGCTGGCCTGAGCAACCAGCGAAGTCGCAGCCAGCAGCACTGCGAAGTCTAGGTCCCAGCGGCAGGGGGCCGACTTCCTGAAGTCCAGGGCCAACGGGGACGTTGGCACCAGGGGGGGACGAGTGTAACGCCTGTGAGCTCACGCGTTGCTGCAGTGAGCTCACGCGTTGCTGCAGTGAGCTCACGCGTTGCTGCAGTGAGCTCACGCGTTGCTGCAGTGAGCTCACTCGTTGCTGCAGTGAGCTCACGCGTTGCTGCAGTGAGCTCACGCGTTGCTGCAGTGAGCTCACGCGTTGCTGCAGTGAGCTCACGCGTTGCTGCAGTGAGCTCACGCGTTGCTGCAGTGAGCTCACGCGTTGCTGCAGTGAGCTCACGCGTTGCTGCAGTGAGCTCACGCGTTGCTGCAGTGAGCTCACGCGTTGCTGCAGTGAGCTCACGCGTTGCTGCAGTGAGCTCACGCGTTGCTGCAGTGAGCTCACGCGTTGCTGCAGTGAGCTCACGCGTTGCTGCAGTGAGCTCACGCGTTGCTGCAGTGAGCTCACGCGTTGCTGCAGTGAGCTCACGCCTTGCTGCAGTGAGCTCACGCGTTGCTGCAGTGAGCTCACGCCTTGCTGCAGTGAGCTCACGCGTTGCTGCAGTGAGCTCACGCGTTGCTGCAGTGAGCTCACGCCTTGCTGCAGCACGCTCACGCGTTGCTGCAGTGAGCTCACGCGTTGCTGCAGTGAGCTCACGCGTTGCTGCAGTGAGCTCACGCGTTGCTGCAGTGAGCTCACGCCTTGCTGCAGTGAGCTCACGCCTTGCTGCAGTGAGCTCACGCGTTGCTGCAGTGAGTTCACGCGTTGCTGCAGTGAGCTCACGCCTTGCTGCAGTGAGCTCACGCCTTGCTGCAGTGAGCTCACGCCTTGCTGCAGTGAGCTCACGCGTTGCTGCAGTGAGCTCACGCGTTGCTGCAGTGAGCTCACGCCTTGCTGCAGTGAGCTCACGCCTTGCTGCAGTGAGCTCACGCGTTGCTGCAGTGAGCTCACGCCTTGCTGCAGTGAGCTCACGCCTTGCTGCAGTGAGCTCACGCGTTGCTGCAGTGAGCTCACGCCTTGCTGCAGTGAGCTCACGCCTTGCTGCAGTGAGCTCACGCCTTGCTGCAGTGAGCTCACGCCTTGCTGCAGTGAGCTCACGCCTTGCTGCAGTGAGCTCACGCGTTGCTGCAGTGACCTCACGCCTTGCTGCAGTGACCTCACGCCTTGCTGCAGTGACCTCACGCGTTGCTGCAGTGAGCTCATGCCTTGCTGCAGTGAGCTCACGCCTTGCTGCAGTGAGCTCACGCCTTGTTACGGCAGCCCGCTTGCTCCTCTGGCAGTGCCTTGCTGCAACTCTCTGGCACCTTGTAGCATGGCGATGCCCAGCTCGTTGCACCAAGGCACCTTGCTCGCTGGAGCCTTGCTGCACACCAGCGTGGTGTGCGTGACCCCAGGGGATCTGTGCTTCAAACCACGCTTGTGAGTCGTCGAATTCGGTTTTCTTTCGTACTTATCATATTTCTTTCAAGTTCCATTTCACAATCAAGTGCGTGTTCGTCATTGAATAGTTCACTCCGTTTTCCGACTACAATTCTTTTTCTGCTTGACCCGTTTGTTTTGCAAGGTGTGCGAGACGCGTTGTGGGGAGCAGGGAGGGATCGAGAGAGAAGACAATGTGGAAAAGGGTGGGAGGAGATTTCGATGGTTGAGGGAGAGGAAGGAAGGCAGAAAGGGGGAGTAAGGGGGGGACAAGGTAGCAGTGATTGATACATAATTAACTTATTGCAACTCTTTGTTATGCTTGTCTGCTCTCAATCCTATTTGTGTATGTATGTGTGTGCGGTGCGGGTGTGTTTGTGCGGGTGTGTGTTCATGTCTTGTCATTGTGTTTGTTTCACTGTGGGGTTTTACGTGCGTTTGCATTCGTGTTTGTGGGATGTGTGGTTCAAAGTGTGGTGTTAGTATGTGTTATGTATGCAATTAGAGGTTGTTAATCGTCTTTGGGGCAGCGTGTTTTCGCTGTTTCAACGACCCCATCAACCTCTGTTGCTGCATGATGCATTTTAACATTCACTTTGAAGCATCCACTCCACCTCATACCTTGTTGTTCATTTGTACAATTGCATTCGTTCATGTCGATGCCAGAATATTATGCTCGGCCGTACGATCCGCCGTATTTATCGACGAGGTTGTGACGGTCGAGCAAGTTCATGGTTTCAACATGATACGTACGTGCTTAGGTGTTTTGGGGATCTCATTCAAGAGTGTTTTTTATCCACTGTTTGAGGCATCCGTTTGAACATAGTTTCAAAACATTCAAACGAGTGCTCCAAAAAGTGCGTAAATAACACTCTTCGAATGATATCCCCAAAATGTGAAACCAAATATAAAGGGTTGCTACGCAACCCGAAAACTGGTTACGCGATTACAACCCCAACCCCCCGCTTCACAACCGAATCTAGTCCCCAAACGCCCCACGTTTGGCTCCCCGCACTCACAGTTCAAAACCTAAGGGATTGCAAAAGGAAACTGAAACTGCACTAGTGAGAGGATAGCCCACAAGCTCCTACTACGGTAGCTGATTCTCCATAGACTGGGCAACGTTCGAACCTAACCGCTGGATTTAGGGACAGAATTATTTATTGAACCGCGTAACGCTGTTCAAGCGCATAAAACCCCAACATTGAGAGATTTGCTCCAAACCCTTGTTTGGGGGTAATTACCTCCGCGGTAATACTCATTGCGCTTGATCGCGCGCGAAGTAAGCCACGTGTCCAAATCGTTACAGAAGTATCCTCTCATCGCCACCGTGGTAACCATCATGCCAAAATGGTCAACATTATTGCCTGAATGGTAATGAACAGTGCATCCGGAATTCATGGCTGGTAACTTTGCGTTTCAACCAAACTGTACACCGTACAAGTAGGGTTTGAGTCAGCGAAAAACAAAGCTGGTGTTCACGTATACCCCACAGAATGTGCATTTCTCTTTAGTGTATGAACCCTTACAAATGCAAAACGTTACATGCACGTAAGCGATACAATTACGGACCTATCACAGTAATGTCAAGATAGCAAGCAGGAAAATGACTGCATTGAATGAGTTGTGGGTACAAGTACTAATCCTAACATTGGGTTGTACCCCATATGGGCTACCCCACTATAGCCTACATAGAACTAGCACATATATAATTTGACACATCCCCATAGGCAAAGTGGGGGAGAACAAGGGGTCTCAGGACCAGTCAAGAAAAGCAAAGCAAGCTCAGGGTGGATCACAACGTCACCACACACTCCGAGCACAAGCAAAGGGC